TAGAGTTCCCACCGTAGAGTCTCATAGACTAGAGAAAAGGTTTCCCACCGGCACATTCCTGCATACCATTGCGGACTTCTCTGGGTGTTTTCATATGTAAGTAAGAGGTACCCGCCGGCAAATACTGCGTACAATTGCCGACTTCTTCTTGGGTGATTTTTCTTTCTGAGTGCCTTATTGGGTAGACTGGAGATCGACCACAATCGGCAAATTCCTGCATACAATTGCCCACTTCTGGTAGCCCATTTTTGCGTCTTCCCTCTTGGGTGATTTTTCTGTGAGTGTCGACTGCTGTAGACTACATAGAATTCAGTAGAGTTATTCAATGTCGTACGCGGAGAGTTTCTCTTACCTTCGTACAGAGCGTTGCGTGCGGCCTTTCCTACTTTCAATTCAATAACAAAAGTATTCTACGCATGCATACCAACTCCACGCACCAACTCCACAAAACAAACGCCTCCGTCATCTCTTCTCCGCTCGCACACTTGACATCGCATTCAGCCTAAAGCGGAGCGGCGGGGCGCATCAGCGCACCCGCCGCGGAGCCCCTTGTAGTCTATATAGTCTATTAGCTAGTCCATCTATATATATAGCGAGACGAAACAACAGAGAGACCACAAGACGAGCACTATTATATGTAGTCCGAACTGATACTGAATTGTACATAAGACTGTACATGCAGCAAACGCACAAACACCTCTGGGTGCTTATGCACGTACGTAGACTATTGAAGTAGGTTAGACGGGAACGTGAACGTTACAGGCACATAGGAAGAGAGAGATGCTGCAGGTGTGTGGCAGCAGATCACAGATTTTTTCGTGGTCTCGCCAAGTCTCACATACATTTGTGGTCTGCCAGTGTTGTATTGGAGTCTAGTCTATGACACGTATATCCTGCATATCTCGATATCTCCGCACACGATTGTTCCCACTTTCGGGACGACATCCATACCCAAACACCCCCTGTCTCTCGCTCGCTCGCTCGACCACTCCCTCCTTCTCTCTGTCTCTCTCCCCATTGTCTCCTAACCTTAACAACTGCATGGTCTAGTCTAAACAAGCAGTAGTGTTACGTGCTTGCCTCCATTAATTCACTTCACCGGTATTTTTGCTCTCTACTCGTCTGGTCTAATTAATCCTTTCTCGCACACACATATAGAAAGACGTAGCAAGTAACGGAGGTTCGAACAGGACTACCCACGAATGACGTGCGCGTCTGACCAGCAGAAGCAAACAACTACTTGCGGTGAAGCAAGCAGCAAAGTTACATACAGCCTCTTGGTGCTGCCGCCTCTACTGAATTTCATGTGTTGTGCGCAAAACCAACCTGTGCCAGCCGAAGACGACGTTTCGATATCGCTCCCGGTTGTTCGAGCTCGACTTTGATAGCAGTGTCAGTAATCTCGACGACATCATTGACGTTGACTTGCTCGCCGGTGCCGGCCAGCTCTAGAGCCCCGTAGTGCCGTTGCCTCCCGATGAGAGACGCAGGTCCTTGGTCGTTCTTGGGAGTGGAGATTGCGGAGCCGACCCATCTGGTCAAAATTGCCATCAGGGTCGTGCGACAAAAGCGGAGGGTTTGTTTGGAGCCGCCACACACGCAGACGCGCTGGCGTTCCCCCTTGATTCGCCCCGCTGCTGTGCCGTTCCGCCGCCGCCGTTGGCCCGGTGTGATATGTTTGCGCAATTTGTGCGAAGGGCGTTTGTTTTGAGACGTTAAAGAATCTCTTTTTTTTTAAATCCCAGAAAAAAATGCGAGACGAAAAGCCGTGCCGGGGCGCGTGTATTATTAATTAATGCTGTCGACGTGTACTCCGTAGGAGGCTCTGTTCTCAGGTTTATTTTTGTTCGAAGTTGCTTTGGTCCGCAAATAGACGAACGACTTCAAGTTTTGGATTCTTGCGCCACTATCGGCAGTTTGGCAACCATATGATTCCTCGCTGTGGAGCCACTGGAGACAGAAGAAATGGGTTGTTGTTGCGTGTGCCTGTCTAGTCTATCTCTTATGACAGAGATGTCATCCATCAAGGTATACTTCAGGGACTCTGCTAGGCATAGAAGCCGCAGACGGCACAGGCTGATATTCTCTGTTGAGCTCATGTTCACTTTTTCCTTGAATCTTGAACAGAGCAGAAGGTAAGTACACCCACACTCGCGTTTTGTTTTATTAGTATTTGTATGCAGACCCGGAGTAGAATTTCCATTGATGGACAGAACACTCCAGAGTGCATGCATGTCAGTACTCTACAAAATACCGTGAACTGGATTTGTGTCCTGTGCCTACAAGCAGCCTCACGTACATCGTGAACTGGATGTGTCCTGTACCTACAAGCAGCCTCCCGTACATAAATAGAGTAGTTACAAGTGCCGACTCACGTTGTACTTTTTTCGCATCACATGTTTGCCAAAATACGACGTAAATCGTTTCCTCGTTCATCCCATCACCAAGAATAAAAGCAACGAAACAGAACTACTTGGCAGCCGGTGCACTTTCATCTTGCCTCACGCCTTGGAGGTATACAGATGGCGCCCGCCTCCAGTTTCGGCCGAGGCTGGGGTTCTAGTATTGCCGATCATCCTCTTGTAGGCTACAAATCGCCACTAAAGTCTAAAGGTTAAGGTTTTAGTGCAGGGGTTCTTAACTGGGCTCACAAATGGTGCTCAAATTCTCAGCTTCAGATTTTTTTCGAGTCTCAACTTAACTGCTAGTCTAAGTTCTCAAGTGCGGGCGCTATCTGTAGTCGAGAACGATCTTCGGCTCAGAAAAGGTTGACGTTCGACTTGAAATCAATACAGGGCAGCAAGTACAGCGATGTGCGCGTTGGCGCGCCCGCCCCTATGTTATCTTTATCTGTAGACTAGTCTAAGATTGCGTGCGTCAATTACCAATGAAGAGCACGATCTTTGCGGTTCCTGTGCTGATACACGCGCGGTGACAGACCCGGATGTTGACTACAGGCACTACAAGACAGGTGAACTTGCATAGTCTAGCTCACACCACTACAAAAGGTCTATTTTGGACGAGACCATCAGTTCTGGGGGGGGTTCGGTCTGTGACGGCGTGACGGCTGCGTACAGGCAGAGTTAAGCAATGACTGATGTTCGGTGGTCCGCCACCACCGCGTACGTATGTTGTTGTTGTTGTTGTTTCTCACATTAGCTCTATAGTCCACAAAAAATGGGGAGCCCGTGGTCTCAAAACCCGGCACATACGACGCCGCGAGAAAACAAAAAACAAAAATAGGATACAAACCACTCGGAAAAAGAAAACAAAATGATCGAAAGAAAGAAAAGAACAGGTATCGCACCTACTGTTCGAGAAAAGAGCCCTCGGACAC